GGGGGGGGGGGGGGGGGGGGGGGAGGTGTAGGGGCAGGTGTAGCTCTTCCTGCGGTTGCAGGGAAAAGTGCCGGGTGTGGTGGGGCTGGAGGGGAGTGTGGAGCGGATACTTTTAACAAATAGTTGTTAGTGCAACCAAATATAGAAGAATGACAAAGATGTGTATGACAATACATCAGAAACTTTTATTCATTTAGCACCTATAACATGGAGATGTGCCATGCCATATTCAGTGATAAGCAGGACCAACCTTAAATTGGTACCAACATACTGAATTTATCTATCTGGCTTGTTAATTGCTGACTGTACAAAGTTAATATTTTAAAAGCAGAAAAGAGGTTTGAAAATTGAGAGTTAACTCAGGTCGAATGAGATATCATCAAGCAAAACAGGAAGAAATTTCTGAGCCTTGAAAGGAGAAGAAGTTAGAATGTATCCAGATTACACCTACAGAGTGGGTTGTACAGTGCATGTGCACCAGATTCTGGTGGGTTCATAATTACCAATTGTCTGTACAGGAGCTCATCCTTTTAGGCACCAATTGTTGAAAGGCTATATAGCTGCTATCATTCTTGTTTTGGTCTTTGGAACGGACCCACAAGCTCGTTGTATTAAATCCATATGTAGGATGTTGGACGATATTTTGTCAAAGACTTATTTAAATGTGAGAAATTTTGATGTGACTTGGAAAATTAGAGATAAATTAAACAAAAAGTAAAGACCGAATGAAGGGTAATATGAGACATGTAGTATTTTGCTTGGAAGTGACTGCTGTTTAAAATATTTATTAAAAATCCATGTGGCACAAATCTTCTGACTTATGTATTCGAAATTTCTGTGTGAAATTCAATAAGAATCTTTTGCATATGAATTTAGAAAGTGTGAGCCTTTTCAGAAATGCCTTTTTAAAAGTTTCTTAAACTTATAAGATACAATAAATGGAAAAATTGTTTTCATAACAGTCCATGGTATAAGAACAGTATAATTTTACACACGGATTCACTATCTCAAACTTTATTTACTTTGTCAAATTTTTATAAAGATTAAGCATGTCACATGATTGTTGCCTTCTTCAGGACAGAAAATGACAGGAGTTAGTTTACCAAAATGTTTGATACATTGACTGTCAAGTTGTTGACTGCAATGCTCTGTATCTATAGGAAAAAATGCACAAATTATTGGAGGTATATGAAAGGCTTGGAGGTGAAGCAGACATTGTTAATCCTGCCAATGAACTTATAAAAGAGGGCCACATCCAAAAGCTGTCAGCTAAGAATGGGTCAGCTCAAGACCGGTACCTGTTTCTGGTAAGCCAACTAAACCATTCATTTTTACATTTCAGCAACCAGTGCCCCTTCACTCAGGGTATCAAGTTGATTAATGAGTTTTATTTACAGCAAATATACCAGTCATTCCATTGGCAGACAAAGAGAAAGTGGGATATAATTTGACTCTTGACACTTTGGTATTTGTTGCAAGTGACTCTGCTGTTTAAAATATTTATTAAAAATCCATGTGGCACAAATCTCCTGCTTTATATATTCGAAATTTCTGTGTGAAATTCAATAAGAATCTTTTGCATATAAATTTAGAAAGTATGAGGCTTCCCACCATCATAAGGTCAGAAATGGGTATGTTCGTTGATGGTTACACAATATTGTGCACTATTTGTCTTCTTCAGATACTCGAGCAGCCTGTGCCACATGAAGCAAGAAAATTTCTGTTTAGGCAGATAAGGAGCATGTAACATTTGCACTATGCAACAGACAAACAATGCCTATTGTTACAGCCCTTGCTGATTTTTTTTTTCATCAATCTTGGTTTGGAGCTGTGAACTGGGAACTGTGAGCTGAAGATGACATTTGGACTGCTTATGTTAAAAGCAGAACAGATCAAATGATTTTTTGTTTATTCATGAGGTCAGGCCTGGAAGTCAGTGGTAGGTTGGTTCCTGATCAGATACTTGGTCACTGAGGAATAGCATTTGGTTTAAACAGATAGCAAAAGTTGGCTATTACCCGGGATTTGGTTCCAGCAAGTCTGGAAAAGATCATTAAGCTCAAGCAGATGGCAGATATTGTATGGTAACTGGGACTTTGTGGAGGAGAAGATAATCTATTATGGAAAGGTCAGAGTTTGAATTGGGTTTTTGAACTGCTTTCTGTGTGGAGGAATCTGGCTGTTGATGATGCAGCATGTAGATTTGAAAGCATCCTGAATAACTTCCCATGAGCAGCTCTTGGAAGTGCCGAGAATAGAAAAATCAACCAAGAAACCAACATTTATGCCTGCCTAAGCATTGTGAAAACTACTTAAATAAGTCTGGTCAGTTTTGTTATTTTCTTTTATTTATCCCTTAACTGTGTTTGTTTGTATGTCTATTGTGTGAATGGGGCTTTAACACAGATTTTAAGTTTAAAATGTAGACAAATTAGCTTACTTTGTGGTTTAATTTTGCTCCTCTAAAATTTTTAAATGGTTAGTAAATTGCTGGTTCTTTTGTTTAAGCCACAAACCAGTGTCAAGAATTGATCATTTTTAAAATCTGGGATTGGTTATTCACAAATTTGGTTAGGAAGCACTGGGGTCAATTTTGAGGGTCTTTGAAAGTTTTAATTTTACTGTGTTATGAATATAGAGGTAGCAAGGCTGATTTGATTCAGCTATCTGTCGCTGTGTCATAACATAGTGAGAGAAAATGTTATTGAATCCCTTAATATCAATGTTATCATTTACCATTGATACAAAATTGACCTGGACCAGACATGTAAATAATAGCTTTAAGAGCAGGCTACTAATTCTGAGGTAATTCCCCCACCCCATGCCAAGTCTATCCACTATCTACGAGGCACAAATCAGTAATGCGATTAAATACTCCTTGACTGGTGCAGCTCCAACAGCACTCAAGAAACTCAGCACAATCCAGGTAGCTTTTTTGATTGGCACCCCATCCACTCCCTTTAACATTCACTCCCTTCGCCACCAATGAACGGTGGTGGCAGTATCTACCCCCTGTACAAGATGCAATGTAGCAACCCACCCAGCCTCCTTCAATGGCATCTCCAAAACCATGACCCCTATCACCTAGAAGGAAAAGAGCAGAAGATACATGGGAACGCCATCACCTACAAGTTCCCCTTCAAACTCCAAATTATCCTGACTTGGATCTATATTGTTGTTTCTTAACTCTTGCTGAGAAAAAAATCCTGGAACCCATGTCCTAACAACACAGTGGGTGTACCTACCCATGCAACACCTTGTCTGCCTGGGATAGATTACAGAAGTTCAAAAAAGCAACTCACTACCATCTTATTGAGTGAGGAGGTATGGGCCTAGCAAGTGATGCCCACATCCCATGAATTATTTAAAAATAAAATTTGCTCAACTGAAATGGAGTCTAAAGTAAGAAGAGGCAGAAGGCTTTGAATTATGAAGTTTCAAAACTAACTTTGTTTTCCTATTTTCCTCCTTCATCTGCAGCACTTAATACAAAGTAAACATTGCATTATAGACAAATAGTACTGAAGAGGGAATGGGACTTAAGTCCATATTCTTAGAAGTGAGAGTTAATCCAAGGGAAATGCCAAAAGTGACTTCAAGGGATGCAATGCACTTAATTTACCGATTGGTTTAGTGACTTAGACAATGCATTGTTTTGGAAAATTGTGAAAGGCATTTCAAATGACTATATGTAAAATACTTCACATGCCTTGTATAATTTTTTTTCTTTAGAATTGAGAAAACTAGCTTTTGACTTGTGTCCTGTTGCTAACTTTGTGAAGGCCAAGCTTAGTATCCGGATCCTTGGATTACTGACTTCACAATTGTGTTTATTTGTATAATTGATATTAAACTTTGTTCGTTTGCGTAATAGTTTAACATGTGTATCGATTATTCTTTGACTGTATTTTTTGCCAAAATACAAGACAATATTTTAATCTGTCTACCACTAGCAGCAGATCTTCACATTTTTGGTACTCTGTGCTGTATAACTTGAATATGATAGATGGGTACAATTCTAAATTCAATATTTTTACCTCTAGTTCAACAATATGGTTCTTTACTGTGTACCAAAGCTTCGACTGATGGGGCAGAAATTCAGTGTGAGAGAAAGGATTGACATTGCTGGCATGCAGGTTTGTGGCATTTATTGGTTTAATAATGTTTTGCAAATGAGATTAATTTTTTTTTACAATATTTGGAAAAATACAACTCTGTTCCTCAGGTCCAAGAAATTGCGAAGTCGAATGTGACTCATACATTTACAATAATAGGAAAACAACGCTCCTTAGAACTTCAGACCAGGTAGACGAAAAGTTTTAAATCATCATTTTGATTGTTTAACAAATTTCATTCATTTTATTAAAGAAATATTGTAATCTATCAAAAATATTTCCCAAAAAGGTTAATGCTTGTTTGATTTTTGAATGCTTAACGTCAAGAGTAAAGTTCAGTGCTACTAATCAGTATAACTAATCCACAAAAATATTATATTTTTAAGGACTGAGGAAGAAAGGAAAGATTGGTTTCAGGTTTGTAACATGCTGTAAAATACTTTGCTTTTAATTCTAGACAATTCTATGGTTATTTTTGGCAGTCTTATAAAACTATGGTGATTTTTATTAGGTTATACAGGCTACAATTGAAAAGCACAAGCAGAACAGTGAAACATTCAACAAGGCTTTTAACAGTTCATTTTCAAGAGATGAAGAATATCCTCCAGATTCCCCCGTAAGTAGAAATAATTTTGAAGTACCCATAATGCATTAGACAGTTAAATCCATGAAAAGTAATCTTTGGTGAACAAGTTAGAACATTGGGAGACTATGACAATGAACTCTCCTTTTACTTCCCCCAAAGTTTTTGATCTCCATAACAGAGATGAACATTGCAAGCTATATATCCAGAACTGAAAACATTGGCCACATCTTAGCTGTGAAATACTCAGTTAAGAGTTTCACACCTGAGATCTTGACAGATGCTCAACATAAATGCGATTAAAAGAAATAGCAATGGATACAGCAAAGTTTTTTTAAATAAGAGAAGGAGAACAGATTTCTTGTAGGGTATATCCCTCTTCTGAGGCAGAAAGCCTAGAGACAAGACCCACTTGCCCTGGAGGTGTATTGTAACCTGAAAAGGTTGATTTAAAAATAACAGCTATAAGAACTGAGTTCTTGATTTTGGTAAATTAGTAGTGGGTTATAAAACTTTTTTTTTTTTAAAGAGCAAAGTTATTTTAGGGCTCATGTGGTGCAATGGCAGTGGCCTTTTCTCTGGTTCAGGTCCTGCCTGCCTCGCATGTGCTGTAATCTATCTGCGCAAGTTAATTTGAAAACAAAAGGATGCGTTCTTCCCTGGTGCGATATGGTTTCTGGACTGGAAAAGATACAGAAAGGGAATGTGAAAACCTATACTTGTAAGGTACTACAGATTTAAAGACATCCATAATCACAGAATTCTGGATCCGAACATCATGAACAGTTCTGAAGAATGGCCACTGGACCCAAAATATTGACTCTCTTTCTCTCCACTGCTGCCAGATTTCCTGAATTTTACCAACAATTTTCCATTTTTGTTCTTGTAACAAATCAATAATCTCAACTCTGCCAACCTCTTATTTTTTTAAGCAACTAGCCCTTATGGCATGTTTGTTACAAATTTAAGAATAACTTTAAATATTAAATTGATAAGGTCATTCTTACATAGAGCACCATCTTTCGGGTTTGTGTCTGTTCATTTCCTTAAACAACAGCACAGTTACACTGCATTAGCCTTGAAATTAAGATAGCCAGATCTTAGGAGTTAAAGATCACTCAAACTTTGATTACTGCAAGCAAACTTCATGCCAGTCCTTAAAAGGTTAATCAAATCAGTTGAACTTCACATTCCACCCCTTCCCCTTCAACATTGGTTCCTTTGTCTCAGTTATTTTTTTTATTTATATCTGGATACTTCACAGCATGGTATGTCTACTGCTCTTCCCAATACCTCAAGAAACTACAGGGAGTTATGAACACAGCCCAATCCATCAGGCAAACCAGCCTTCCATCCATTGACACCATCTATATGTCCTGCTGCCTCAGGAAAGCAACCAATAAAAGCAAGCAAAGACTCCTCCCACCCCAGTTATACTCTCTTCCACCTTCTTTTGTCAGGTAAAAGATATAAAACTTTGAATATATGTAAGAATAGATTCAAGAACAGATTCCCTGCTGCTATCAGACTATTGAACAGACCTCTCAGATGTAATATTGATCTCTGTTTCTCTGCGGCTGTAACACTGTGTTCTGCTACCACGATGTACCACACAAAGTACAATCTAGCTGCAGAACACACAAACCAACACTTTTCACTGTATCTCGCATATGTGACAATAATAAATCAAACTCAAACTCAAACATCACTTCCCCTTTCACCATATCATTCATGGGACAATGAGAAAAACAAGTCACTTAAGAAGAAGATGCTGCATGCAATGATGGAAGTGATGGATCTTAAGCCTTTGTAGAAGGTAGTGCAGTAACAGAGTTAGTAAATGTGATGTAACTGGCAGCTCTTAGCCTCACAAAGGGCAGAACTTCTTTCTGCAATGCTGAGCATTTCTTCAGACCATGGACACCAGACTGACCCTCTGGCAACTTCAGACCAGGCTAGCAAGGTCTGGCAGTCCTGAGGAAAGAGAACTGTTCTCCTCTCCTCCACTGTCCATCAGGATCTGCAGATCCCTGTCTGTATATTGAGTCTGCCGAACCTATCTCTATCAGCTATCTGAGAAAGGCTATTCCTGGCTGGCAGTGTGTTGACCCAGTCCTGGGATACAGATATGCAGCCAGCAGCAGGAGACCCCGAAAGTCTCAAGCACTTCAGCTAGTGGTGAGTGTAAGAGTTGCACTGTGGGATTGTGATACATACTTCATTAGGTGAGCTGCATAAAATAGCATCAGAAAATACACTCGAGCTTATACAGAGAAAGCTTTCATAAACTTCATGAAATTGACACCTCGCTGATTTTTGGGAAATGTCAGCCCTAAGTTTCTTTTTCTTTCTAAAAAAAAGTACAGCCGCCATTTCAGACAGTTACCACACAGAATCCATCTGCTTGGTACAGTGACTACTCCTCAAAGATGTAAGGAGGTAACTGCACCTCCTCCACAATAACAGTCAACACTAGAGCCCCCTCCTAAGGAAGTGTCCTCAGCCCCTACTGTACTCCCTGTACACCTATGCCTGTGTTGCCAAATTCCAAATGAACACTATCTACAAGTTCGCTGACAACGCCACTGAAGTGGGACGGATATCTAACCACGACGAGTCAAAATACAGAAGAGAGATAAAAGGCTTGGTGACGTGGTGCAATGAAAACAATCTGTCTCTCAATGTCAGCAAAACTAAAAAATTGATCATCGACTTCAGAAAGAAAGGAGGAGAACACACCCCCATCTACATCAGTGGAACGGAGGTCGAGAGAGTGAAGAGCATCAAGTTCCTCAGGGTGACCCAAACTGATGACCTGAACTGGACTTCCCACATAAATACGACAGTCGAGAAGGCACAACAATTCCTCAGGTAGTTCAGGAAATTTGGCACGTCCATTAGGTCCCTCACCAACTTCTATGGATGCACTATTGAAAGCATACTGTCTGGGTGCGTAATGGCCTGGTACGGCAACTGCTCTGCCCAGGACCATAAGAAACTACAGAAGATTGTGTGCATAGCCCAGACCATCACGGAAGCCAACCTTCCATCCATGGACTCCATTTATCACAGCTTGCTGCCGCAGAAAGGCGGCCAACATCACCAAATACCCATCGCACTCCGGTAATGATCTCTTACAACCTCTTCCGTCAGGCAGAAGATACAGAAGCCTGAACACACACACCAGCAGGTTCAGGAATAGCTTACTTCTGGCTGTTATCAGACTGTTAAATGTAATCAAGCCTCAAATAAAGCAACCTGCAATGTAACCTGTATGCCTCTAAGTCTTTTTGATCTGTACCTCCTCTGCTTATGTGATCTGCCTGTACTGCTCCTAAACAAAGCTTAAAATCAATCAATCAATCAATATACCTGCACTCAGTGCCATGCAATTAACTGTGATTAATTGCAACAACATCTTGTACTCATGGAATAAATTTAGCACATTTCAAAATGTGTATGATTTACATTTTTAAAAAAATTACTGTAAAACAAATTATTATTACCAGTTTTCAGTCCTTCACTTCTTCGCTCCAATGCCTTTTATGATTCAGTATAACAATTCTGAATAACACTCATGTGAAACAATGTGAGATTTTTCTATGTTTTAAAATGCTTTCTAATTTTTGTACAATTCTCAAAGGGGAGACTTTTCAGACACATTTTTTTAAAATGATTGTTCTCCTCTGTAGGTGCCAGGTGCAACTTGTTCTGACTCCAATATAGGAGGAGACTTTTCCAGCCCATCTACTTTGGTATGTGATCATTTATTCTCTAGGCTGCAGTTTAATGTGTGCTTCTGGAACTTGTGCAACAGCCTATGAATACTTCATTGCAGATAGTGAGGGCTATATAGTTAGTTCTAAGAGAAACTGCTAACAATTGCATTGTATGTTTAATCACACCTGTTGGATTTTCAATGCCATTGCTTATTACAAATTGGCAGATACTGTCCTTTCTAAGTGTAATTTTCATGTTGACTTTTCTCCTTTTCCCCTGTTTCTTCCTGCATCCCCTCTCTCTTGTGCTCAGTTACTTGGATTTAAACTACAGGTTGTGTGGTTGAGTTTTGTGTCTTGGACAAAAGTCTAAAGGCAAGGGCTATCAGGGGTAGCAGTCAGGATTCCAAGTCATGGGACTGCCCAGCAGTGTACAGATTGTAGAGCTATGTAGCAGCAGGCAGGCATGGGGATGGGCGGAGGCAGTAAGCCATGTTTGCTCAAGCATATGGAAAGAGGAGCGAAAGGTTGTTAGGGCTGGGAAGGGAAACATTAAGGCCAGAAAGAGAAAGAAAATGTGAAAAGGAATGACTGCTACAGACACAAATTGGGAAGGGCAAGTGGATATCAAGCATATACAATTCAGAAAGTGTGACTTGAGTCACCGTGTTATTTGAAGTCAGCCTGTAACTGTATTGGGACAGCAAGCATGAACAATGTGTTTTCGGATTTCTTTTAAAAAAAATTAACAAAAAGGCTGCAAGCTGAAGTAGGTTCATGGTTTGAAAGCGTATGATCCATACGTTTTTAAAAATATAGAATGGTTGAAAAAATTAGCAGTAAATAAATTGTTACAGTTGCTAAGGTGAACAGCTTTTCATTTATTCTGACCTATGAAATGCTTGCATAACATTTTTTAGGCTATTCTTCAGAATAAACTGTCTGTGGATTCCTTACAGAAATTCTTGCTATAAATATTTTTCCACTAACATGTTTGCAATTAAATAGTGCTTTTGAAATTTCTTCTAAAAGATAGAGAATTCATGTTATATGTATCAGGGAAAGGAAACACGATTTTCCCCTGGGTTCAGGCATTTCAATCTATTGTGATTTATTTAACGAGCAAGTAATTAGATTCCTGAGTGATTCATTGTTGGAAAAGTGATTGGTTTAGCAGTGACCCTTTTCACATTATCTTTTATTAGATAAGTATACATCTATATGTCTTGATGATAATGCAAAAACAACAGAAGTACTTCTTGTGGAAGAGGGTTGCTTATGTAGCCAGAGGCTGAGCTGTGGATTACACAGCATTTTGTGGCAGATCAAGTGGGGTTAAGAGAATTCACAAAGCTTGCACCTGTGCTGTTCATTCAGCTTTCCTGACTTGGTCAGACTTTATGTCCACTAGCACATGGAAAGTATTTTTTTAAATGAAAATAAATGGATAGCAGCAAACCAAAAGAGTTGGGAATCAAGTGAAAGCTCCTCAGAAAAACTAAACTGACAGAGACAGGCTGTGACAGGAAATTACAGCAAGATTTTTGATCATCTTCCTCTGGGGGTCAGTATAAGCTTTCTAATGGTATTGCAAAGGTTCCCATCCTTCGGATGTGCACTGACAGCTGTTCGACCGTTAATGCCGAGTACTTTGTGATGAAGCATTGAAATGATGGAGAACAATCCTGTCCTCAGTGATTCAAATCGTAAGATGACTAACATTTGTATTTGCTCATTATTATTCTGGTTCGTGATTTCAATTAGAGCAATAGGAGAGACATTGTATGCATTGAAGAATTGGGGGTGGGACACCAGACCCAAATCATTTCGTCCCACAGTAAACCTGCCTCCTAGACACTGATGGGAAAATATTTAAAATCTGTGTAGGAGTTTATTCTTTGACCAAAACTCCTAGCTGAGAGAAGCTGAATGAAAGCTCTTCAGTGGAGGTTGTAAATTGGTAGCTACATATATTGCTCAAAATCTTTAATAATTTTACATATTTGAAGTACATTTTAGCTAAAGGCATCTGATAAATGGGACAAGTATTATCATGTCAAATTATTGAACTCTGTATTGAATCTACAAGTTTAAATGTCTAATAGAAAGGTAAGATATTGTTCCTTGTGCTTCCATTAAGTTTCATTAGATAAGTGTAGAAGGGTGAGATCAGAGTACAAGCGAGGCCTATTATTTTAATTCTCTGCTCCATTTTCAGAACAGAGCAGAACTGTCAAATGAAATTTACATCACTGTGAAATTGACATTCCAAAAATGTAATTTCATTTTTAATGCAATATGTTGTGGAGCATCGTATATCGGAAAGTAGCAAATCGTCATGTTCTATATCTCTGTGACCACATAAACTATAAATAATGTAGCTGTTCATTCTGTGCTGTCTTAGTTTCCTGTTGTGATATATGGTTGTTAAATACTCCTTTGCCTGGTGCTTCGGTGTTGGTTGTTAATTTTGCCTTAACTTCAATGCATTTCTGTTCAACATAATTTTTCAACTGATGATGCATTGAGGAAAGGAAGGTCTGCCAGTGTTCCCCAGGTATCCCCCATGGTATACAGAAGGAAGGGCATGTATGAGTATCTTTATTTAATAACAATTTACTGAAACAAGAGGAACACTTCTTTTTACAGCGTATGACTTTATTCATGGTCTGTACAATCTTATTAGCTAGCTTACAGGTTAATTCTGATTTTATAAGCATTAAGACATACAGGTTCTCAAATTAACACAACCTCAAGCCAATAGTTCTAACGTGATTTCAGGCACTGGCAGCTCTTGCTGTTCTTTATATCCTTATCTCTGGTGTCCTCAAAGGATCTCAGCTTAGCTGTCTCTGATTTCTCAATTATATGGTTCCCCTTCAGCAAGATCATTGGAAAACTGTGTGTTTTGTGTATATGCAAGTGATACTCAGCTTACCTCACCACCATTCCATTCGATCTCTTCACTGTATCCAGTAGTGGATGAGCAGACATTGTCTTCTCCATATTCAATTGGAAGTAGATTTCTTTGGTGTCCTCAAAAACTCCATTCAGTAACCATCAACTCCACCCCTCTCCTCGGTAATTCACTGCGGCTGAACCAGAGTTTTTGCAGCTTTGGTGTTATTTTTGACCCTGAGTTGAACTTTCAAACAGGTTCTCTGCTGTCACTAGGACCACCTATTTCCACCAGTGATGCTACTGACTTAGTGCTGAAACTCTCACCCGCGCCTTTGACTGTTCCATAATATTCCTGGCTGATCTTCCTTCTGATTGAGATCATCCAGAATTCTGCTCCTTGTGTCCTAAAATGCATTGAGTCCTTCTCACCATCATCCCGAGGTTAATGACCTACATTGGCCCCCAGTGACAGATATTTTTATTTTAAAATTCTCATCTTAGTTTTGAAATTTCTCTATCTAGCCTCTGCAGGCTCTGTCATGCAGCTCTAAAACCCTCTGGTAAATGTTTGCTCCTCTAAATCACCTTGAGCATACCCAAATGTAGTCACTCCACCATTTGTGTTCCAGTTGCCTCAGTCCTAAATCTGGAATGCCCTGCCTACACATCCCACCATTTCTTTACCTTGTGATTGTCCTCCAAGACACTTGTTTTTTTTTTAATTTTGTTGATGAAATCTGATTAAAGTATTTTTGTCCTGGATAACATTAATAAGGAGAAACAAGTTGACCATCTCAGTAAATAAATAAAACATTTATACTTTTGGTATAGCTTGTGGAGTAGTGACATTTGATTACCAACATAATTCTCCTGTCAGTCATAACAATGTGTCTGATTTAGTTCATTGGGCCATACTTGACCCAGGTTCATTGTCACTAAATTAAACATTGTGTTGTTGATTTTCTGTTTGCTAAATTGAAAGAACAAAATTTATTAGGGATACAACTGGTAATGAAATTTAAGTGGGAAAACATCCAACTCTGCCAGGATGCCGTCTCTGGTCAAATATTACTTTGAAGATCCCAAAGAAAGAATGTCACATGGCCATAACTGAGGAACCTTACTGAGAAAGTGCCAATTAGTGAAAAGGAGAAAAAATTGTCACAAGAAGGAAGAAAAGCACTGCGATTATTGAAGTAAACATACATTATTGGATCTTGAAAAGAATAGCTTTCCGTTTTACAGCTTGAGTGAATGGGCTGTCATGTATCAATTTTTTAAAAGTGCTAGAATGAAACATCTGTGTTAACAGAGGTGTGCATAGGGAATTTGAGATTTTATCAATGTTCTCAGTCAGTAAATGTTTTAGTGCTGTTCGGTGCCAGTGTTGTCCTGGTGAACAATAGAAGGCTAGAACTGAAGCACAGTATTATTCTAATTGTAGTTATAATCGCTCTCAAGGTTTGCAAATAAAGAAGTGGCAAGATTTTGGCATGGTTAGTGTTAATACTTTTTGATTTCAATTGGGATAATACACTAACAGATTCACCATTTTGTGGGGGAGAAAATGATTTTGCTGATTGTTATTGCCCAGTCCTAAAGATTCCATTGAAGCAAGGTGCATGTATGACCCCGTATACATCGCTCTGTATAGAATAAGTAAATCTGTTGTAATAAAACAGGATGAGATTTCATGATAAGTAACATTGAAGACAAACTTCAAATAGTTTATTTTATTGTATTATCATTTTATCTATAGTATATTTGTTATTTATATTATTTTTTTATTCCATTCTCATTACTTTAACCGGCTTAATTTTTAAGAAATGTGCTATGTTTAAAAGGAAATTTAGCAAACAACATTGCATAGTCTAGTGCAGTTGCAGAAATAATGGCTTTATGGTGTGATGAAAATAATTCTGACATCTTTAAGTGAATAGAACAGTAGAGACATCAAGTAAACAGGCCAACATGGTTGCCAATTTTATGAAGAATAACAAAATAGAGGGAGGCAACTGCAGGCCAATTAGTCTTTCTCAGTAGCAGTTAAGTTAAAGTATAATGGAAAGTATTATATAAATAACGGAATTAGTTATCCAGAATAAATAGAAGAATGTCCGGTACAATTATAAATTGCAGCCAAAGTAGTTTCACAAAGGAACAATCTTGCCTGACCAAACTCCTCACCTCTTTGAGTCATGGTACTGCAGAATTGGATTAGAAGTGGACTCTGGAATTCCTTGTGACATGGTGAACCTAATTTTCAAAAGGGATTCAACAACATTCTGAATAGAGGTCTATGCTTCAGATCGAGCAGGAAGGATTTAGATGAACTGTGACAGTAGATTAACAATTAATTGTAAAGTGAAAAAGACTGGAGTTATGTTTTGACAAATTTGGAGAGAAATTAGTGTTGGGACCTTGTTGCTTTTAATATACACATGCAGATTTCAGAAACTCAATGCAAAATGTTGAGACTTGCAGATTAGAGTCTGTTCCTGATAATTACCCAAACTAATCTGTCCCTAAAATGCTGGAATTATCCAGGAATTTGAATGAATCTTTTGTAGTAAAACAGGATGAGATTTCTTTTTAATGCTGTTCAGGATTGTTGAGTAATTTGAATTAAATACCTTTGTAGGACAGATATAGAATGTTTTTGAGCCAAAAGGGTTATTTAATTCTAACCAGACAATTTGGGAATGGAATTAATTGAACAAAATATATGGTCAAAATAATTCAGATTAAATGTAATCTGATAAATCATGAGATTCTGCACATTTAATAAAGAAAAGTAATGTATAATGTTGAAATCACTAAGGATAAGTAGAAAGACATTTGAAGGTCATCATGGACATAACTGGTAGCCAGCAATGCCTGTAATCCCATGAACAGGTTAAAAAAAATTCTTAAGGAAAATCAATTATGGAAACACTGTCACAATAGGGAATCAATTTATTTCCTTGTTCACTGATTTGGCATTGGCTAAATGACCCATCACTTTTGTATTTATTGCCTGACATGATGGTTCAGTCAGAAGGCCAGGTAAGCTTCATTGATTAAAATATGCTCAGAATCACACCAAAGCATGAGTTCAGTTTCTGTACTAACTGAATGTGTTCCTGGGACCTATCTCCTTGCCTTGCCCATAGCAGCTCCATTAAGAGAGACTACATGGAGAGACAGAAGAGAAATTTCCACACATTGTTCTGAAGCATACAACTGTATTAGTCCATAGTCTGTACTATACAAGAGCCAATAAAGTATCATTTCAGCATTTGTGTTATCGAGCTGATACAAGTGACATGTATTAATTGCGTACTCTTGATCTAAACATTTTTCCTTCAGATGGATTCCGGGAAAAGAGCTTCAAAGACAAGACGTGATAAGGAAAAACAAGCCTGCAAAAGTTGTAGCGAAACTTTTAATTCTATTACTAAACGCCGTCATCACTGTAAACAATGCAATGCAGTAAGTATTAAGATGAGCAATTGGGGGATTTTAATAGTCATGAAACAAAAAGCACATTTTATTTATATTGTATTTAAAAATTTTATTTTGAACTCTCTTTACCCCACCCATTTCCTCTAGTTTGTTTGTCTGCTGCTTCACTAATATAGCATAGTCACTTCCACTTTTCAAAAACACTATTGTCTGTTTTCTCCCATTTGTCCCACTTGGGGGGAGAAAACGTTATTTACTACTTGTTCTCACTATGTTGCACATGGGAATAATATTACTTTCTTAATAAGTGGAAAAAGTGTGTTGAAGGTTCGTTTGCAAATAATCTGAAACCTAAAGATCATGTTTACAACACAGCCTCGACTGTGAAGTGTTTGGATGATAATTTGCATTTTCCTCAAGTGGAGCTGTTGATCATGAGCCTGATTGGATCCAATGAGTTAATTCATCTGTAGCATTGTGAATCAAACCATCTGTTTCAGGTTTAGTGTTTTAAATGTAAAGATGCTCAAATTGGGGTCATTAAAAACATCTTAAATTGTTTTCTGTCTATTTGTCCACAATTCCTCTATTTGTTTAGCTTAGTACCAATTTGCTCCTACTAATTTATTCCATAGTACAACAATGGGAAAGCAAATATTGACAAATGGTAGAATTAGTCAACAGGTATGACATTGACTTTGGGAGCATTGCAAATATGAAATTTCATAAGACTGTGTTTTGGGACTGTGTTTAATTTAGGATAAAGTAAATAAGAAAGTCACATGACTTATTCTGAAGCTTGCCTAACAACAGGCTTTGGTGATGTGGCAGTTAACGATTAAAGGGAGGCTGGAAAAAAATGTGGAGGTTGTTCATATTTGGAGACAATGCAGCAGCATCTGTGTTTACAGTGGTTAGACTACTAGTCTCCAAAGTCTCTGGACAGCGTTCAGGGGTGTCAGGTTGTAAACAGTTATACCTTAAATTATTGAATTGGGGTCTTGAGGATAGCAAATGAACATTCCTCCTGAGATACAAGACATGTGGTTCACATTGCCAGGGAGAGAGAGAAGATCAGTGGTAAGACTGGAAAGTAGCTTGGTATTCAGTAATGAGATTGTGCTCCAGGGGAGGGTAGGAGGAAGTGTCCTAGAGTTGGCAGCCGGCCTGTGCTAGGTAGAAATCAATTTGTTAATCAGCAACAAAACTTCCGACAAGAATGGTACTGGTAACATAGTATTTTGAAAGTTAAACCAAATAGTTCTCAGATCTGGATCAACAACAGCAAGAACTTTAAGTCTGTAACGTTGTAAAACATTGCAAGGCGCTTAACAGCAATATCATCAGGCAAAAAAATTGATACTGAGCTATTAGGACAGGTGATTAAATGTTTGGGTAAAGAGGTGTATTTTAAGGAGCAACTTAAAACAAAAGGAAGAAGTAGAGGATAAGAATTCTGCAGTGTGGGCACCAGGCTGATAAAGGCATGACCACTAACAATAGAATGAAGAAAATCCAGGATGCACAGGAAGTTAAGAATTGGGAAGAATGTATATCTTTGAGCGGAGGCTACAGAGGCAGGCAGGACAAGGCTGTGGAGGCGTTTGAACACAAGCATGCCAAATCAAGCATTGCTCAACAAAGCTTTTTGAATAAACTGAAGTTTGCGAGGATGGTAGGTGGAAGGTTGTGCACAGATCATTGGAATAATTAAGGCTGAATGTAACAAAGATATGGAAATATTTTTGAGCAGCAGATGAACTGAGGAATAGAAATTAATGATGTCACAGAAGTAAAAGTATCAGTCATTATAGCAGTATTCCCAAATATAATAAAATCAAACCACCATTAAAGGGAATCATTATTAATTTATAATAAGTTTGAGCTGATATCACTCTTGCAGTTCATCCACCAAAACACTTAGCACTAATTCTGTGCAATTCACTGAAAACTACTGAAAACATCAAGGACTTTTGAGTGTTTAAGACAAGACAGAGACATTATGTCTCTTTTTGGTTACTGAATGGGCATTATACCAAGTATGTTTTAGGGGCTTTCATTTCACTGTACTCTGCAGATATACTGCCAAAAGTAACACTGAGAAGAAAAAAACATTTTGTGACAGTGATAAAGAATGTAATATAGCTAGTGACTGTGAACATGTCACATGTTTTGATTCAGGAATGGATCAAGATGGGTGAATCAAAAAAAAAAAGCAGATTGGAAATTAAACATTTTTATGGCAGTAACCTATTCTAAGGATGCTGTTGTTGGTTTTTCAGATTATCTGTGGTAAATGTTCAGAATTCAAGCCATTTCCAGATAATAGTCGGCAGAACCGTGTGTGTAAGGAATGCTTTGCGTTGCCAGCTCCAGCAGTCCCTTCAAATCCAGTACCTGAGAATGTAACAGAGCAGAAAAGAAAAGGAATCATGGAGGTGAGTGAACATGAACACAGAAATTACTGTTCAATCATTGTGATGAATTTTGGGAGGTTATAAGAAAAGAAAAAGTGAGTTAACTACCGTAAATCCTGCAGAGTCTTTTAGAGAGAGTCTGAAATTTGGACTTGTCCAAAAACTGGTCCCATGTTCCCTTGTGTTTCCCTGTGTGCTGTCATAGATGACATCACAGCTGGATAGGTAATTGCATGCCAGGACTCCATCGTAACCTCCACATTTTAGATATTGGTAAAATTTGTCAGCTCAAGTGACACATTTGTTGAGTAAATTGCCTTTCTGATAATATGCGGCATCCGTTTTTTGTTTGATTACGAGAACGTAGGCATCACTGGCTCTGCCAGTATTTATTGCCCAGAGGGCAGTTAAGAGTCAACTCCACATTACTGTCTGTCTGAAGTCACATGTAGGCTAAATCAGGTAAGGACACTGGATTCCTTTCCCTAAGGGTGTTAGTGAACCAGATTAATTTTTAGGACAATCAACATATGGTTGTCATTAGTCGAACTCTTTATTTCAGATTTTTTATTGAATTCAAATCCCACCATTGCTATGGATTCAAACCATGGCCTCAGAGCCTGGGTCTCTACATTCCTTGTCTGATGACATTACCACTATTCCACTGCCTCTAACAGTCCAATCCAGGACATCTGGGAACATGGTAGTAAATTACTGGAACATACAGGCTAAAACAGGTCAAGGTCTGGACCAGAGATGGGCAGGCATATAGATTCCTACGTGCTTATGTGTCTGTTCCCCTAACAAGGTCCTCAAACATTCTGAAAGACCAAGGTAGCCATTATACATCAATTAGAATGAATTATATAAGGATCCATCCCTGCACCAAATGGGATTTCCAACTGACAATGCAGGCTGCAATCAAGGCCAATATAGGTGTGCTCAGGGTAGGGAACAGGCTAGATCATGTGAGGGACCAACACAAAACTCCCACCTCACCAGATCACCAGTCCTATAAAGGCTGCAGCCACTGGTAATCACTTCGAGACATTTCACCTCCAGGATCATACCTAAACAATTGTGAAAAAAATTGAAAAATTAACATCAAGTTCTTGTCCCTCACTATCTGTATCTTCATGTCAGCAACTCCCACCTAAGTCACTGGGGCTGTCAGCCTGACTGCTGAAGGGCCTCCCATTGACCTTTCAGCTTTGGAGCCTGCCTGTTGGCCCTGATTGAACAGCAAGCCTGCTTCCTTGCCTTTAATTGCCTGGACCATTGAACATTACTATGGACATGCCTAAAGAGTGCATTTGTGCAGTCAGAATGTAGAAATAGCCCTCTGTGTTGGCCCTGAACCCAATTAAAAGTACAACCCCACATCTGTGTAAGAGCTAAAAATCATTATTAATTTACAAATCAATAATTCAAGATTTGATTTCTAACTAGTTCATTGAAATACATTACGTAGTTGCACAGGATTAAGCTGTGTGCTGACAAGAACAGTGCACTTGTACACTATAAAGCTTTGATTTACTTTCTTCCCATTTGCTGTCATGAATTGTTTCCCTAATTAACAAAATAAATTGCTGTATGGTATAAGGAACAATGAGACTAAGAGGGTAGGTGGGACTGAATACAGAATTTATCGCAAAATGTCACAGGAATAAAAAAGAATTAAGATGTTACACTTGAACAAATTTAAAGTGTAAGTGATTTTGTTGTATTTCATTGGTTAACCCCATTATTCAGTCAGAACACAATATCTACCAAATAAGTGCTTGTCATCAAAAATACATTGAAGGAATAATTTTGAAAGCATGAACTTGTTGTATTTTATATCCAGTTGAATAGAAAATGTCAGGTCATAGAACAAAAATTCAGAACTAAGCTTCTAAAAAGTGGAATTCTAAAACCAATCAATGTATATACACAATTTTACAACATGTGTCATCAATGTGGGACCTGATATTTCACTGGATGATCTTGCTGATGGACAACATATGAAGGAGAAGTAGAAGGAAGCCAAAACCATAACAGATCAGAGATAGTAGGAACTGCAGATGCTGGAGAATCTGAGACAACAAGATGCAGAGCTGGATGAACACAGCAGGCCAAGCAGCATCATAGGAGCAG